CCTTCGAGTTTAGACGGATAAGTCAACATAACTGAGTTCGAGGCGACTGAAGCGTACAAAAGATTAGTTCGCACGAGGACGTGTTTTACCAAATCACAAGAATATCAGAAGCCGAAAAAGAAAATATAATGTAAACCATCAAGTCATTACTTATAAACCTCAACAATAAAATTTGTAATTAACACGTTTGTAAAAATTACGGAAATATTCAATAAGATTAAGTGATCCTTAACACACTGGGGACACCGTACTTGGTTCCTACGTAATTTATAATTAAATGTAATACTACCAATATTATGAGTCAAAGATCCAGACTTTATATTATGGAAATAAAATTTCGTATGATTATACAGATGCAATTCCTGCAGAAGTCCACGTAACATTACAATGTTGATGATGGTGACGATGATGTCATAATCTATAGTAATAATAAAGAGCATGACCGTTAAGCAATAAAATAATTTATCTCTATATACATAACTTCAGATAACCATACGTTTAAATAATTCGGTTTATATTTTAATGTGACGGTTTTCAGACATAAATTGTTTCCATGATCAAAATGGAAATGGGGAGGGGGTGGGGGGTGGAGATAATGTTAAGAGCTAAGATTTGAAGCATTGCAATATTTTACTGAATTTTCATCAACAAAACAGCTTAAGACTCCAGGCATTGTAACGTTTCCATCAACAGTGGGCTGCGACTGGATGTAGACGTATGAAGGAACGCTCAGGAATGTATTGGCAACAGTGTACAGCTCTCACAATTGTCGCTTCTGTTGCAGCTCTTCTTATTACTTAACAATTATTTTTATTAGTTGAAAAGTATTCTAGGACAGAACAAGGAACTTACTTGTACATATAAGACTTTGTGCTGCGTTATACTCGGGACACACGAATCTGTTGTCCTGAATGTCGCACTTCAAACACGCTTTCTGACAGACCAACATATGTGACTAACTTTCCCGAGCAGAAAATAATGACATCAGTTCTCGCCATATGATTGGTAGTTGCGTGATACTTCCTTCAGCCGGAAACGCCTGTTTCGTCGCTTCTAAATTAGTGACCTTGAAATTGATACGAGGTCATTATCGCGCAAGTCGGCATTACACAGCTTATGTCTTTAATATAATAATCACCATTCAAATGATAAAAATTTACCCTTTTTCTATTCCTTTCTGCTTTCTTGTTTTTTCTGTATTCATACTCACTCTGTAATTACTCTATGGGGTGTTAAGTTTGCATGTAAATAATTGAGAATTATTATGATTATTATTAATATTATTATTATGATCACATCATGAACATTATCATCACCACCACATACTTCACTTAAAATAATACCATTTTGTAGTTTCTTCTGAACAGCAAATGCCACTATCAAAGGATTAATTGTTAAAGGAAACTGCGTTTTTGCGTCGGATTGAAAGTTGATCAAGACGCGAAATTTATTAGTTGATACCCTTGGTCTGCACATACTTCGGCTTAAACGGATTCTCGATTTACACAATAACAAGTGCAAAATACAGGTTCAGACTAAATGCAATGCCAGATCCAGGAATTAAACTTCCCAGTATCAAGCCAAACATAAAATAAAATTACGAAGAAAAAAATAAAGCCGCATTTCTCACTGAAAAATCCAAATATGTGGAATAATAGTTTCAAACTTGATCTTTCACATATACACGTATGTTTAAATATAGTGGTGAAGTTATGTTACTACAGATGGTCAGTCGGGCAGTCTGTCTCGGTGTCAAGCGCCCATCTTGTGCTTATGACCACACTTTTATTACTGTCACAGAGGTGCGGATTTGATGTGGGGCGCTCACTCTGACGAGAGGACGGGTCTGCAGTTTACGCTGTTGACGCTCGCCAGCGCAGTCATTCTCGGGTCTGAGTTCCATAAACCTAGTGTCCATATTTTACTGTCTCCGCTTCGAGACTCCCCCATCCTGGAGGGCTAGGTCCCTGTATTTATATCCCATAGGAAGAGGGTGGCCCAGTTATAACCCTAGGCACTGGGTTCCCCTATCGTCGCCTCCTACGACTCGCAGTGCTATGACGGGAGGAATTAGAACCCACCTCCACACGGGGCCATATGTATAAAATGTAAATTTGTTTATAAATATATGCAGTTAAGTATATTGATCCTATTCATGTTTAACACTTGGTATTATATTGTACCTGCGTGTGTGTGTGTGTGATCTAGTTTCTTAGCTTCATTTGTAAGAATAAAATTAGGATTTTCGTAGAAGATTTTCGAGTACGATAGGGTTCCCTGGCCAAATTGTGACAGCCTACCTACACGGCATGAAACTGCGACTAAAATGAGAACGTAAGTTTGTGGGTCTGCTTGGTCCAGAATGGCCAGCCGTAATGAATATGTAAGGGCTGGAAACCTATGTTCCTAGAAGCATCGAACTTTCAGAGACAGTCCCGGATCTACAATACTATACGAGTATGTGGCATCGAGCTGTTTCGGGTCCTAAACGTTCGGACCGACTTCCATCAGCAAACTGATATTTCGCGAAAAATAAATGCATATTCTTTCAAAGTTATTTCCTCCTTCAAGCATGGCTCTAAAGAGACAGATCTTTAACAGAAATTGCTTGGTTGTAGAGGACTCGTAACCTTAAGGAATTATGACCAAATATTAGCGATTCTCCGTCTTACGCCCACGTATATCGGATGTTGCGGGCGAGTGGGCGATACTCGTGTATCGTATTTTGGAGGTCCCAGAGTTAAATCTAGAACCGAAGTACGTTATCTTCTTGGCTGTGACAGTGTTATATTCTGGTATGTGGTCACCAGCGCTTCGGTTGAATACATTGCCTTCAGTTTCTTGATTACTTCAACCGCAAACATGAAGGCAAAATTTTTTTTCCTAAATGTTTATTCTCACATGTCAGATAACAGAATGGCAGAACACAATAACACGAATCTAAACCAAGGGGGATAACCTTAGATTTTACATCAAGACAGATTTTTCATAGATTTCCTAAGTCAATCAAGGACACTTTTGGGACAGTACCTGAAGTTGGATTACGATCGCTCCCCTCCACATATTTTCCAGTACATTACTCACTAATCGCCCTACCAGACAACGCAGTAAAATCTGAGGTATTGAAATTTCACTAAATGAATTGTAAATGAATAACTAAGTACCTAAATGATTAATCAATGGTACTATATGTTAAGTTGCCTCCACCAGCATGATATTCATTATAAATTTAATTAGAGACACCTAGCAGGTTCGCAAATTGATAAAACTGTACTGGGGATATATATTGGTACGAAACTAGATCCTGATTCTTTTCTGATCCTTACTATTTCCAGACGGAGTTTTAAATAATTCCTTCAGCTGGGCCAGTTCTGTCATATTTCAGATCTGTATATACTCTACAATACGTCTTCATCCTTCCACATTGGAGGGTAATACGTAACTTTTGCACATGAAACATATTACGTGTAATAATCTAGGAACAAAACATTCTTGTAAACAGGAAAATTAGTTTAAAGACACAAGGGGAGGAAGCAGAGCACAATCACAACATCCCTCCGCTCCCCACTCTACTCCGCAGCACGCACACATATACATACACAAACATAAGCACAAACGAGAGGACCCGTTTTCGATTCTCGACACGTAGGTCGGCTACTTTGGCTGGTAATTTTCATGAATTTTTTTAAGTTCCTATAGGTAAATAGAGAGCCATTACCGTAAAAGTATGCAATGTCCGCTTGCGAGACTTTCTCTCCTTCTTTTATATTATTTCATTTTACTAAGATGTTTCATACCAATTGAAACTACGTATATATACACCGACTATACATTTACTAAATTCCATATAAATGAATTGTATAATGATAAAGAAAAAGATGTCCCTGAACCTAACTAATTAGACACTGCGTCATGAAACTGTATGTACAGACACACGTCTTGTTGACATCGGCTCTAGTTCGAGATTTATGGTCAGCTTGACGTCCAGGCCGCTTTATCACCGGAGAAAGAACCCCTGTATCAACTGGATAGGAGGCTGGGTTGTCCTCAGAACAAATCTGGACGATAGGAAGGAGAGAAAAATCTCACACCTACTGAGACTCGAACTTCGACCCCTCGGCCGTCCAGTTCATAGCCAACCGCTATACCAGCTTCGCTATCCAGGCTGACGTAAATGATATTTTTTTTTATTTACATAAAATTAGCAATCAGAATTACATTTGATTCTATAAGCTAATTAGCTGTAGTATTCTTCGTGACGTGGAGAGGGCTTATCCAGAGATAAGCGCTCGTTAACCCTCTCTCAGGTCGGCTGGCCAATTCCTTTTTAGTCTTCGTCCATTGTGTGGTTCCAGTAACGGTTGTATTAGTATGTTCTCATGTCCTATTTTATTGAGGTATCTTGTGCTTTTCCCTATTATGACTTCCTTTACTAGTGGCACTTTCAGGACTTCATGGAGTGTTATATTGGAAACATACCGCGGGGCGTTAGTAATCATACGTAGTATCTTTGGCCGACATCTTTGGATTATGGAAATATTGGTTTTGCTAGCACATCTCCATATTTCCACTCCATATACCCAAATTTGTACGTAAATGAGATACGTTAACTTACAGGTTCGCTGAAGCATTCTGACAGTTTCGTTCTAAGTAGAAAAAATATTTTTATAGAAACCAATATTAAGTTCCTCGACGTTATCTGTCGTCCACTCTTTATCTAAAAACACGGCCGTTTTGAAAAATGAACAAGGCTGTGTTTTGAATAAAAAAAGGACGATGGGTAATGACCAGAAACATAATATTTGTACTGATGTACCATCGAAGATCTCTTTCATATAAGGAACATTTGAAAATTAACCCAAAACTGACTGCGAACACGAAAATGAACATTCGGCTAAAAAAGGGGGGATTTTTTACTGTACGAATAACTGAGCCACGAGAGATCTATTCCCCATAGGAAGGTTAAACCAACGACGGATGGTACCGGAGAAAAGGCTTGCTTTACAATAAACTATTCATATTTATCTCTTAATATTTACCGCTGCAGCCAGAGGTGGTGACAGGTACCAGATTAAGAATACAAATTATTTAATAACACATATAACTTCCCATAAAAACTTTCCTTTGAAGTAAAACGCGGCCGGCGCGTAAGGCTGACAACCTTACCGCCATAATTTACCCAATACTGTTATATAACACTGATTAGTGAACATGGAAGAGTTAGGAGGTTGTTCTAATCTTTATTATCTATAGCAGCATAAGGACAACTTTCTACAATGACAGGTTCTGTTCTAGGATTCAAGTAAGATGGTTGACGTCTGCTAGACTTGCAGAAGTAGGGATTGTCATGAGAACACTGAAACTTATCAGTAATACATAAATATGGCCATACGCCTTACTTCAAGGATTGATAACACTGAGTAACATTTCTCGTAACAATACGATCCAAGTTTTGTTTAGTTTTAGGGAGGTCTCCCTCACTTTTCTTTCTTTAAGCCAGAAATGAACATTGAAAACTTCAAAATTTTCACAGATTTTGTGTCTAAAATGTTTAATAATTTCAAGCTACATAGTAATGGGCCGTTATGTTGAAGTTGAACAATCAAGTACACGTAACACGGCGAAGATGTAGTTCTGGCTCACTTCAAGTTATAAACTGCCACTCGTTTACCGGCATGTTCAAACCCTTGGTTAGTTGTAGTTATTTTTTAGTTTCTTTGAGTGGGGCGAGACTTAGTCCACTTGGTACGTCGGCCACTAACTGGCCTATTGTACTGGTACCGGATGGCAGATGATGATTGAGGAGAAGTCGCTGGAATGGGAATTAGTAAGGGGAACCGAAGTACTCGCAGAAAACCTGCCCCAGTGCCAATTTGTCCACCACAATTCCCACATGATGTGACCTGGGCTCGAATCCGACCCTCCGCAGTGGCAAGCCGGCAACTAACCACCTGAGAAAGTTAGCTGAAACTTATAATCATTTATAATTTTGAGACTTCTGGTGTGTCGTAAAGACGTATGTTGCTTGTATTCAGAGCAGGAGTTCAGCTTATTCCATGCTTCTCTTTTTGATCTGCAGCCACATTCCTCCAGCAGGAGTCAGTATGAATGACTTCCCATCGAAAACCAGAGGAACAGGAGTTTTCTTGCTTACACTGAACTGGTATTTGGACAGAAGAGAAACCAGTCCCACCTTGGTTTGCATCAATCCGAACCGCATCCCTGGAACCGATGTTTATGCATTGATTAGTAAGTCAGCAAACAAAAGTTCGCCTGCTTGTGGTACACTAAATAATGCTAAAATAGTTGACATGAACTTTATCGTTATGCTCAGAATTTAGTCATCACACAAAAACTGACAGAGAGTATACAGTCCGGATTTCAATAAAAGCCGTGCTCTGTACCCGAAACAATTTCTGTATGGCGTGTATTTTACGAACTATTGGTACTAATTTCTTGTTTCTATTTAGCGTGACTACCGCACTGTAATTTCGCAACGTTGGTTATGCATCTATAATAACGAATATCAGACACACATAATTAAAATGAAAAATTGTTTTGGTGCACCTACTTTATTTAAGTATTACTTTCCACTATTCTTACGCCTTGTGTGGACACAGAATAAAAAAAAAGAGAGAGTTACAAGGGCATAAGGCTGGATGTGTATATATATATATATATATATATTACTGGAAAGAACAGGTACTTCAGATCTAACGGGAATTAGGTGTGTCCATTAATGTCAATGGGAAAACTATTAGCATATCCTAAGGAAAATTTGTGGATTTAGACTGATATAAAGCAATGAAACATAATTCATCGCTCTTGGACTGAAACGCTTCTGTTAACATTCAGCTGTAATGAAGTATCTTCCTCTGGATGAGGAATGGGTCTCAGATGTATATCAATTTTGGACAAAAGAATCTGCAAATCAAAATAGGAGTTACAAACCAAAAATGAGCATCTGAATGCATATATAAATTATTACAGGTAAGATAAGGTATTTCGAATATAATGAATTTTAGGCGTGAATGCAAATGGCACTAGGAAAACAATTAGCTTAATCTTCAGAACCCATCCTAAGAATCAATTTATTTTAGAACGAACTGAAAGCTGAAGAGCAATGAAAATGAGAGTCGGTCGTGCGGAAATTAAAATACTGAAACAGAATTTCATTCAGGATATAAAAATACGTGTAAATGTGAGTCTATATGGAGCTGAATTGAATAATTATCTGTAGTATGGTTTCTTAGAAGGGTATGAGTACAGTTCATAAAGCAAGAAGTCAAGACATGACGCAATAATATAATCCAGAGCACAAATTTAGTAAACAAACGAAAAAACAAACTCAGTAATCAGTTACTAATTGCTCGAATAACAGTAGCAAATATCGTTTCCAAATGAAGAAAAGTCACTGGAATCAGCATTAGAAATGGAGCGACTAATATCCTAGACATAACAGGCTAACATCTGAATAAGAAGAGAAGATAATTATCACTTAATGTGATCCTTGTACATTTAATAACACTTTTATGAAATACTTACTGATGGGTGCAACTTACCTATACAAATTCTGGGTCCCTCTCCAAAAGGAAGGTAGACATAATGGTGTCTCTTCTGCTTCTCTTCCTCACTGAACCGTTCGGGATCAAACCTGTCAGGTTCGGGGTAATATTTAGGGTCGTGGTGAAGACCAATCACGGGTATGAAAACCCGCGTTCCTGTGTCCAAAACAATGTCTGTTTCCGGAATTTTGTACGGCTTCGAACACTCGCGCATTAGCGCTGGAAGCGGCGGGTATTTTCGGAGAGTTTCTGAAACAGAAGCGTTTACTTACAAATTTTGGTTTTATTGCCGACTTTCGTCAGTGCAGCGATCGTGATGTAGGTCATAGATGAACTGATAATAAATGTTACTTGCACCCCATTAGACTTATTGCTAATTACCTTGGGTATATTATTCGTAACCCTTTGGTTTCTTTTCCTTCGCCCTTAGTTTTTATTATTTCCTTTTCAGCATGTTTTGTGCAAGGGTTAGGCTCAAACCTGCTTCTATGTGATCGAAAGTGAATCTAAGCTGCTAACTGCATGCTTTGAATTACTTTCTGATTCCAAGAGACGTTACATGAGCTCATTATTTTTTATTACATAACGTTTTGTATAATTTTATTGCATAATTTTTCATGATGTTTCTTCCGACGTTCCGGTGGTTTATTATGTGGCTAATAATCAGGGGACGAGGTGGTGTTACTGTAACAGTCCAAACCTTTTAATACTCTTTAATGGACACTATGTTCCTTTAGCCATTTCAATAGAGTGACTGATTTATTAGGGAGACCCATCCATTAAGAAGTTATGACATGCTTTTCGCATTTGGACAGGAACAACTGCCTTGTTTTGTTACCTGTAGCTTGGGTGACCGCTAAAGGTTCGAGGCAATTATGAAAAGGCATGTCTGTAGTCTGCCCAAGATGTAAATGTTGTTTTGCTAATGGGGTCGCTGTTATAAAAGTGTCTTCGGAAGGGTGTAATTAGACCCTAAACTAAGAAATAACCGCTTTCACATGTAGGGTTCCTGGTTCAATATCTTTGGATCTCTTTATTCTCAAAGTTAGTAATGTGATTGTCTAGTACTGATGGTATGATGAATTGGCAGTTAAAATCAGCCATTAGAAAACTATTCTTGTTTGGGAGAAAGGCCGTCGGTTCAAATCCTATACAGTGGATGAAGTGACGCTCCCGCAGAATAGAGTGGGCAGAAGCACTTGGCATTTTGAATTCACCAGAGGCAGACGTATCGAGCTGTACTCTCCAAGTATATCTAAATTTATCCGTCTTTATTTGGTTCGATTAATCTTTGATGATAATAAAAAGGGTACGTTACTCCGTACTTGCTAATAAAGATATAGTGTTTGCTTCTGAAATAAACAATTTGTGATTAAGCAGAAATAGTGTCTTTGATTTGTATCAGTGGACTAGCATTAAATGTGCACTTTCCTCGTTGCCTCAGTTATTACCGTGACACAAACCTGAGAAGAGTCAAGTGTTCTACCGAAGCGGGCAAATAAATAAATAAATAATTAAATACAAAGATAGATAAGGGACGGTCACAAGAAGTGGCGCCCAACGGTTACAAGAAGTGGCAGCCGAGGCGAGCGGTTACAATAGATACCTTCGTAAACATCGGTGTGAGGACCTAAACCCCGATATTCAACACTGTCAATACCAGTCTTTGTTAACAAACCACGTAGAGTCTTTGTAAGGAGGTCGATGTTCGTGAAAACGATAATAGGATTTGACTGAATTCGTGTCTCCTCGCTTAGATCTTAATGACCACCAAAAGCTGGAAGTCTCATATATTTACAGATATATTTTGTTCCGCTGCGAATTAATTATGACGTTCCGTTCCGCGGCATTAGTCGTTACAGCGTTCCACTCGTTGTTTCTCTGTAAGCGCAGCTTCTCTAACGACGCAACTGCCAACCGAGGACCTGTTAGCAGCATGATCTAATGAATAGGTCGGTGGGGGGGGGGGGAAACAAAGC